TAAATTAAAAAAATGTATAACAAATGTGACACTAATTAACATTGTCAATTCCAATCTTATTTATGTGGTGGATACCCCCAAAAAAAATAAATGGCTGGTTTTCATATAAATTTTGATATTAATTTAAAATCTTCGATACCATCAATCTTTTTTAATTCACGCTCACCATCTCTTTCCAATTGTTGATTTATAATATCTCAATTTTTCAATATGACCACCTAACCATTCACTCAACATAATAAATAGCACTAAAACCACCTTTGCTATTTGTTTAATATCTTAAAATCTATCATAAGGTAATCATCTGCATTTAGTTGGGCATCCTGAATATTCATTTCTATTTGTGTCTATTTATTAAAATCATTTTTGAAATGTGTTGAGTTGCCCACTTATAGTATTATATGGTAGAATTTATATAGACAGTAAGATTTAAATGATGTAATGTAAAAGGCAATTTCGGAGATAGCATTAGTATTATTTGATTCGTCTATTTAGAGTTGGCAAAAAATAAAGAAGGCTCGATCATTAAAATGGATTTACAAAGGTGGTATAACATCGTTAAAATTTAACGACACTAATTAATATTTTATTTTCATAATCAAAAAAAAAGCAAAAAAAAAAAAAAAAACCGAAATTATCTGTTGATTGATTACTTTAAGTAAATCAATTAAATCAATAAATAATCGGTTGAATTTTTGTTTATTATTAAGTGATTATTACTATTATCATCATCATATCATTAATCATCAGTAAATTAATTCCAATAAGTAGATTGAAATTTTAAAATAAATAACAGCATCCCTTTTACTAACATCTGAAATTTTTTTAATATTAATCTTCTTCTATAGGTTCATTTTCTTATACTGTATATTATTAAAAATATATTTATAGAATTGTAATAAACAATTTGTTAAAAAGAAATGTAGGATCACACTGATCCCCGAAGCCGTTGATAAATTTATTTTTTTCTTCTGTATTTTATCAAATACCTTTATCATGGAAAAAAAAAAATTATCCCTTTATCAATCTTCCGTTGTTTACTTATTCTAATTATCTCAGAATTTTCAATAAAACTTAAATTTCCAGTAACTTTCCTAATAATAAAACTATTATTATTAATTCCTTAACCTGCCTTAATTTATATTAAATAAGTTATAATAGAATATATTCTAAAGCATGAGAAAATAAATATGATGTCATTTCTTCAATAGCAGTTGCTCTTCCTGGATTAAAAATTGATATACAATATACTGAAATTATCATTATTGGAGGTTGCAGTTTATTTTAACTATACTGAACAATAATCAACCACATATAAATACGAAAATGGTAACTCTTTAATAAATATGCTTTAAAAAGCAATGTATATTCATTTAATGAATGTACAACAAATAAATTAATAATGTGAGCATGTGACAAATGAAAATCTAGAAATTTAGAAAGGAATGAAGGAGCACTTCGACCGACCATAAATATCGTGATAGAAGATATAGAACATTCTACTAATTTGAATATTTGTGTAAGTTATCGAAAAATAAATACGAAATTAATTTTTTATTCATATTCATTAATAACAAATCTTTTAATTGTATTATTTTCTAATCCTTTTAAAAAAATATTTAACATACTTTAACGTGAATAATTTATAATTAATTATATGCAATCTAAATAACTAAAACAATGGCATTTTCTTTCTTGACACTTTTCGTCATCTTATTTATACAATTTACACCATCAACTCTCGCTTACGTCAGCAACAACTATCGTTCTTCTTCTTGGGTTTTCTGGAGTTATGAAGATGGATATAGGAGATGTGAAAATATATGTATAATAGTATTTGTAATATCTGCAGTTTTGTTGGCAGCATTATTTGTTTGTGGTGCTTGTTTATGTTTAAGAAGTAAATATAAAAAAAAATCTACGAAAGAAAAAGAAGAATTCTATAGTAAAGAAACTGATAGTATGGATGAGATTTATAAATAAATTTATTTACAAGTTAATGAAATTATTTTAATTATTTTAATTATTTAATTATTATATATTTATTTATATAAAATATTACAAATATTATAATTTTATTATTATTATTCATTATACGTTATTATCATTACTCATTATTATAATAATTATAATTATTTTTTTTTAATGTTAAAGCATAAATTTTGTTAGATGAAAATTTATTAAATGTATTTTTTTAGATGAAAAGTTATTGAATAAAAGTTATTTTCATATTATATTAACATCTTCACATTTGTAAAAAACTTCTACGTATAACTTCATTGATAAGTAGTTAATATTATAATAACAGTAGGTAAATATATTGTTTCCTGTTTCTTTATGCTTGTCGTTTATCATCAAATAATACTATTCATCTTTTTTTTTTGTGACTATTGCACAGTTAACGATGTTAAATAAATGTATTGACGATTATTATATTGGATCTCTGATAGTGTATTGAAAATTTTTCTTGGAATAATAAATGAGAAGAGAAATTGATATTAAATACATTTTGTACCATATTTGTTTCTTGTTAGAAATATTTTGTTTATATACCGTATATGATTAATTATTGTGTTAATAAAAAATTCATTATAATTCTATTTTCGGTTTTCTATTTACGGTTTTCTATTTACAGTAGAACGTGATAATCTGTGTGGTACATTTATGAGGGAACACATTTCTATATATATTTAGTAAACTACAAATGGTATATGTTGTGTGTCCCTATGGAATTATTCCGGTTTAAAAAAAAACGTATAAAATAATTACCTAGTCGTTCCACAAACATCATCAAAGCAAAGAAAATATGCACTCGTTAAAATAAAGAGTATCTTAGCGCATATATTATTAAACATATGAAAAATGTAAATAAATAAATATTTTTATTGTAATTTTTTTTTTTTGTTTTTCTTTTGCAAAAATAATTCATGTAAGCAAACGAGATAATTATAAGATTTAGAAATCGTCAATATCATATTCTAAAAAAATAAAAAAAAATTAAAGAATCAAGAAATAAAAAAAAAATAAAAATAAAATATGATATAATTGATAATTAAATGAAGTGGTAGTTGTATCTGTTGTTGTTTGATTTGCTAATAATTCTTCAGCTTCTTTAATTTGATTTGAATTGGAATTTCATCGTCACTATATATCTTATAAGCATAATAGTGTTTATTCAATTCGTCATATAATTCATCAAAAGTGGGCCAATGAGTAACTCGTGCATCCCAACATCGCATAATAATTTGTGTTATTAATTTAGGAGCATGAAATGGAATTTTTGGTCGTAATCCATTACATATTTTCAAAACTAACACTTCATAATGTGGTACATCAGAATATGGTTGAAAACCAGTAACTATTTCGTAAGCGACGGAAGCTTTTGTATATTCTTCCCCACTTAATACTTCAGGAGCGATATAGGGCAACACACCAAAAAAATTTCTCTTTTAAGAATTTCTACGTTTTTCTCAATTAATTTACTTAACCCAAAATCTGAAATATATAAAGAAGAATCTTTAAAATTATATGATAAAATATTTCCAGGGTGGAAATCCTGATGAGTTATATCTAATATATATGAATTGCTGTAAATTTCCATGCTAAATCATTTAAATAATATCCGGAAATTCGCAAATATATGATGGTTTTAGATTATTTAGAAGATGGGAATCTTAGAAATTACTTAAATCATAATTTTGACAATATTAATTGGGAAAAGAAGTGAATTGCCATCTAAACGACTTATATTTTTTTAAATATAATTAGCATATTATATATTTTACAAATAAATTAAATAAATTATTCATATTAATTTAAAAGTACTACTATACCTCATTTAAGAATTCTTCATTAATATCCAATACCATCAGTCTTTTTTAATACCACTTCATATTCTATTCTTGTCCATCGTTGATTTTTAATATTCCAATTTCTAATATGTCCATTGATCCACTCAGCATAATAAATAGTACCGAAACCACCTTTTGCGATTTCTTTAATACCTTGAAATTTATCATAAGGTATCCATTCTATTACTTTCATTCTAGTATTAGCATTTAGTTCTATCGTTTCATTTTCACTTGTCCATTTATCAAAATCATTTTTGAAATGTGTCGTATTGCATGGTTTGTACCATCCCCAAAAATTATATTCTTGATTAAATTCTTCACATATTCGAGACATTTTTTTTGTTCCTTAGATTACGTAAGGTAGACATTTTCTTTTTTAAATATATATATATATATATATATATATAAATTTACAGCCGAATTTACGTTTCTCAAAGAAAATTTCTTTGATATGAATGAGTAGGTCAAAATGAAGTAGAAAATCGTGAAACTCGTTCATAAAAAAAAAATAGAATCTAAAATAATAAATAATAATAATCATCTAAAAAACAAACAAAAATATAAAGAATAGGCAAAATCTCTATTTGTTTACAATATGAATATTTTGGGTAAAAGTATACAAAAGTTTAATATAATAAAAAAAACATTTGTACATCTATTTACGATCATTTCATCACGACTTAATATTGCATTTGCTCTGACTCTAATTTAAGAATACACAGAAAACACTTTTCTAATTAATCAATTAATAAATATCAATATACCCCTTGGAATAAATATTTTTATTAACACAAAGTATAACAAGAATTATGTATTTTGTTTTTATTTTACAAAAAATAAAGCAAGAATGCTATCTCAAAGTAATATTTAAATCAAAAGATATCATTCCTATATTTTGTTTTATTATTTTATTTAATAAAAAAAATTTTAATTACAAAGTTAATTGAATTTTTATACTTAATGTTAAAATTTTATAAAATACGAATTACAGTATCGTTTGACTACAAACCTAATTAAAATTTTACAAAAATAATTAAATAATAAAAAAATAAAAAATAATAATAAAGTAAAAAGTATTTATAATATTATAATTCATCAATATCATTATCTAAGCAAAAAAAAATAAATAAAATATAATGCATATATACAATTGAAACTTGTAATTGTATAAGAAAAAGATTCCATTTTTAGGTTTTGAAAAATTTGAAAAATTAAAAGTCTACTAGTATGTAGTTAAGTTGTTATACAGTATATGTGTGTCTAATTTGCAGATCATTCTTCAGCTTTTTTAATTGAATTATAATTTCGTCGTTATTTTCATCATGGTCCAAACAATTCTCGTAATCCACAGAGTATTTTCTCAGCTCTCTCCGTAATTAATCAAAAGTAGATCGATGTACATGCCCCAAAATTACCATAGAAGACAATTGTTTTTAATTAATTAATTTAATTTAAAAATTTTTTATTCTGTAAATTTTGTGTAAATTTAGATGGGTAATAGAATTCATATCGAAGCATTGGATATAATTTATATTATTAGAGGAAAATCGCTCCTCATCGGCGTAAATAAAAAAAATCTTTCTTTTCGTACGATGTGATATTCGATTTAGTAGATAGAACGTTGAACTTGTAAATTGGTTTGTAATTATTGAAGAAATACATATTCAAAGTGAATTACGAAAATAGATAAAAATATAAATTTTATTTTTGTGCATCTCCTTTTCTTACTAGTAGTATATCATTTCATTGTTTTGTAGCTACATTTGAAAAAAAAAAAAAATAATACTGTACATAATACAAAGTAAAATTGCGAAAAAAAAAAAATAAATAAATATAAAGGAGAGGTGGTATTTGCTGGAAGTGAGTTATGAAAAGTCATTAATTCCATTGACTACAAGATATTAGAAGATCTCTACGTAATAAAATAAAATAAAAAAAAATTTTTTTTTTTATTCTCGTTAATATGGATGATCACCGTTTCATTTTTTGATTTTTGCAAAAGTTCTTTTCAAAAAATCAAGCTATCTCATTTTATATAATCATGGATCAATTAATTGGTATCAATAATTTTTTTTCATTGAATTTTTTTTTCAAATAACCATGATGCCAAGTCCTGCGGTATGATCAATATGTTCCTTTGACGATTACCATTTCGTTTTCTATAGCCTTCCTTTATAAAATTTGGAAAGGATTTTTAATAAAATAAAATAGCTCATTGACATAAAATAAATTTTTATCTTCGTGCGTGATATTTTTTCTTTATCTAGAAATTACACTGATTTTAAAAATAAAAGATTTTTAACTATATTCAAATAAAGTTGTTAATCGAAATAATTTTCACCCTTGTCAAATATTTCGACTTTAGACATTTAGGCATGTCTCAAGTCTAAATAAATGTCAAAAGTCTAAATATGTTTCGAAAGTCTTTATATGTATCGAAAACCTAAATATGTGTCGAAAAGTAAAATAAAATATTCCTTCTGGTTCTAAACCACCTTGTGATGTTTCATTCATTATAAGCAAAATTATTAAATTAGTAAAGAAAATAAATTAGGAACGATAATTAATTAAAAATCACCACTGTTAATTATCATATGGACAAAATTAAAATTAAAAATTTGCCAATCGCTGTAATCCGAATTATATTTAGACATTTCGAGTCATCGTCGAAATTATATTTCGACCGTAGTATGCCTAAATGTTTGTCAAAATAAAACTTTCGACTAACAACTTTAATCACATTAAATAGTGGTGTTCAAATATTCACGTGTCAAGTTAATGTGAAAAATATTAGTGTTAGTGATAAATGCAGCGTTAACCTATGACCTATTTGACAATTTAGAATTCTATATACGGATGCCTTTTTTTATGTGCGGAGTTTTCATTCCGCACATTCCGACAGACATTCCGCACATTGACCTACTGATCAGCTATTGTATGACCATATGGCCTATTAATGACCTATAGTAAATTAAGTTCCGTTTTCCGCATGTAAAAAAAAGTGAGAAACCTTGCGTCACGAGGTATGGGCTCAAGCACCACTGGTGTGGTATAAAGTTTTTGAAAATAAAAAAAATAAAATTAAAAAAAAATAATGATCCCGTCGTTCTACAAACAAACATCACCAAAGCA